CCTTCTTGGAATTAAAGGCTCAAAAAATCAGGATAAATAAGCAAAAATTTAAGTGGCAACAAGAGATCCATCCCTTTCCTGTGGCTTTCTCCAGCCCCTGCTCTTCAATCCCTTGGAGGTTGCAGAACACCTTGTTCCCAACTTGCCAAGCAACACACCACCCCACCAACAGACTTTCTTGTGAATTTTTAGCATCTCTTGTCAGCGTTTGCTATTTGCAGCTCATAACCCCCTTTCCCCCCCAAGACAACAGATTTATCACTAGGGATGTGAAAAATAAAGGTTGATGGGTGAGCTGGGGCCTTGGCCACATCAATGACATTGTTGTCGTTGTCTCAGGGGCACAAAAAAACCTGGTGGTGATTAAAAAAAACCCAACAGCCTCCATAAATGCATTTTTCAGGGTTTAAAAAGTGCCTCCAGCCATGCTGTGAGATGCACCACCCCAGCAGGTATTCCTTCTCTGGTTCTCCTTCCCCTACCTCACCCTCCTCCCCTGGTTCCCTCAGGGCTGGGTGTCTCCTGGCCATAAGGATGATGTCCCCGTGGTCACCTGGTGTTCAGGATGAGATTTAGGAAAGAGCTACGCATTGTTTCATCACCTCTTTGTGCTGTAGCAGCTGCTGGTGTTGAGCATCTCATGACTGAAGATGTTTTGAAGCACCCACACCATCTCTAAAGTGCCCTGATGTGCCCATCACCCTGGCTTCTAGGCCTGGTGGTACCAAGGGAACTGTTGACAAGACCCCAAGGCTGAGCAGGACATGGTCAGACCCAAAAATTAGTGAGCTCCATGTCCCCCTTATCCTTAAAAACACCCCAAATTTGTGACTCCACCATCAGAGACCTCATCAGGGTGTCCTGGAGCTGATGGATGTCACCACTCAAGTCCATGCTGACCCTGCAGCCAGCTTTTTGGAATTTGCTTATTTTTTTTCCCCTCAAAGCTGTATTGTGGTTAAATTTAGGCCAGTCACCTGGTCCCGTGGGTGCTGTCCAGGCAGGGGGTGGTGGGACAGAGCCAAGCTCCTCCATACCTCCCTGGAGCTGAGTGGACACTCACAGCCCCAGCTGAATTTCTCCAAATCTGAATATTTTGCGCCCTCTCCTGGGTTCGGATGGCGTGGCCTGCTGTGTCCTACCCTGTCACCCTTCCTTTTGTCTAGGAAGAGTTGGGGACATCAGGTTGGGATTGTCCCAACAGCCACCACTCTCACAGCCCCAGGTATTTTGCCTGTCCATTGTGAGACCCCAAAAATACATCAGAGGAGATTTTGGCTCAGATAAGCTCCGTGAAAAAGTCCAGAGCTGGATCTGTCTCCTCCATCACTTTCTGTGGCCCAACCCACAGTCATTGTCACCACGCATGGTCCTCCCCACCAGAACGTGGCCATCACTCCTGCAAAACCAGATGGTTTGAGCTAAAACCATCACAGCATCCCTCTCCATTCCAGCCCACCATGATCCTGAGATCTTTGAGCATCATCCAAAAGCTGACAACCACTCTGGGCACACTCCTCATCTTGCAAACCACACTGGGACCACCAACCCTGGATGTTGGTGAGGTCCTTAGGTGGCCACAAACCTGAGGAAGATGCCACGTGCTTGTGGGAACCAAGTCAGGATGAAGTCCCACGCTTGATTGAGTGCAGGACACATGCTTATCTCCAGAAATTGGAAGTAAATTGCTTAAATCAACATAAATATTAATATTATATGGAGAAGACCTGTGAGAAACGGAGCTCAACACAGATGTGTCCATCTGAGATAGGACGGGAGGTTTATTCTATACATCCTATATGTTAAAGAAGACTCGCCGAGCGATTAGTGGTACATCCACCCCACGCCGTGCAAGCAAATCCCTCCTCGGTAGGAGGAACATGAGGAGCAAAGCTCAAGCCCCAACCCAGCGTGGAGGTGGTGGAGAAGCCAAGTCAATGGTGGGACATGTGGTGACATGGCTGAGGACACCGAGTAGCTTGGTGGTCTAGGCTTCTGGACTCTTGGCATTGTGTCCAGCTCTTGATTTTGGTGGATCCTGGGCAGGAGGTGACAGCAGGAAGCTGAGGATGCTGGGATTGGAGAGATTTGGGGTGGTGGGCTATGCAGGGAGCTGGATTTGGATGATACTGAAGGTCCCCAGGCAGGTGACAACACCACTGGCTTGTGTCTAACCCAGCCCATGGTCACCACTTGGGTGATGTTGCCCTTGTGCCTCCTTCCCAGCTTCCAGTCTGGATAGGGATGCTCTCCCACCATTTTGCAGTGGTTCTACTGGTCTGGCCCCACTCTGGGGACTGAAGGATGGGGATGTCCCTATATTACCCCCCAAAATGTCTGTGACACTGGTCTTGAGCTGGAGGAACACATGGACCCCATGTACCCCCAACAGGTATGAGCTGAGCAAACCCTCCCCAGCCTTCACATGGCCCCATCAGCGAAGCTTTGAACAAGAAGAGGGAGAAGTCACTGCTCTCCCCGAGCCAGGGATCGTGTCCTCCACAGTCCCACTGTGTTCTCCATGGTCCCACCAGTGGGTTTTATTGCACCAGTGGCTTGGCCACCAAGGAAACATGTCACTAAGCTGCTCAAAACGAGCAACCGAGCCACAGAGAGGACATCAAATCTGTGCTGTGATGGGGTTAATACTGTGCAGCTGCAGGCTGGAGATGAGATGAAAGTGCTGAAAGCTTGGGAGATGCCATCCTCCTGTCCTCCAGCATATCTCCAGCTGAAGCCATCTCTGCTCTGTGGAGCTTAAAGCTAAAATTGCTCCATGTCCAGTCTTGGTGACACCGAGGTAGCCCTCGTCTTCACCTAGGAGCCGTAGGTAACGCAATGATCGTGCCGCCACTTGGAGCTCATCTTGTCCAGAAGGTAACGGGTGCTCTCCCGAAACTTGCGTTGGGTGAAGTAGAAGAGGATGGGGTCCAGGACGCTGTTCATGCTGGCAAAGGGACGCGTGCACTTATAGGCGATGGCAAACGCCTGCAGAGTCGGGCAGGGCAGGTCAGGTGAGGACCGAACGATCAGGTAGATGGTCTTGGTGAGGTGGAAGGGGAAGAAGCTGATGGAGAAGACAATGACCACGATGATGATCATACGCACGGCTTTATCTTTCCTCTTGTGTACCACCAAACCTATCAGCTCATCCTTCTGGCACAGGATCCGGGCCATGCGGCAGTAGCAGGCGAGGATGGCCACGAAGGGCAGCAGGAAGCCGGTGACAGTGAGGGTGATGCCATAGGGGAAGTAGGCTGAGGAACGATCTGGTGGACTCAGGTCGTAGCAGACGGTGCGGTTCCTTTGGATGCCGGTGGAAGCGAAGACAAAGGTGGGCAGGCACTGGGCGATGACGATGAACCACACTGCAGCACACACCAGCCACGTCAGCTTCTTCCCCTTCTTCTTGTGCCACGAGGCCAAGGGGTGACAGATACCCAGGTACCTCTGGATGCTGATGCAGGTGAGGAAGAGGATGCTGCTGTGGAGGTTGGTGTAGAACTGGAAGCGGACAAATTTGCAGGTGAAGTCTCCAAAAGGCCAATAATCCTTCTGGGTGTAGTTGTAAATGAGAAGTGGGAGGGAGCAGACATAGAGCAGGTCAGCTGTGGCCAGGTTGAACATGTAGATCATGGAGCGACTGAGAGCCTTACGGGCCACCCAGATCTGCCCAATGACCACGGCGTTCAAGGGCAACCCCACCATGAACACCACCGAGTAAACCAGGGGCAGCAGGACCTGCTTGAACTCCTCATGGAAGGTGCATGAGTTCCTTCCAGCCCCCAGGGGGACCGTCAGGTTGGCCATGGTGATGGTCTCCTCCATTGATGTCCTCTCTGCTGATGTGTCCCCTCAGCAGCACCTGTGAATGACAAAGGGGATGGTTGGTGACTTGGCCATGTGGTGTCACTTCCACCCTAGCAAGATGAACCTGGACCAATGTGTGCAACACCAT